CGTATGTCCAATTCTGTATGTTTCTCTGCTCGCTACAAGATCTTGGGTTGCTCAGAACTGAAAGCTACAAGGAGGTGATATTTGCATAACTTTCTAAGGATAAAATCATTCACACACTGATTTTTGGAAAAATGTATTTGTTTTAAAATGATATTTATCAAATGCTTTTTACACTTATTTTTAAATTTCACTGTATATGTGATGTGGGTTCAAACTTTTAGAGGAAAAAAAGTCATTCTAAACAATCAGATTTAATTAAAAACACACAAAGCGATCACGTGCCATAGGATGACAGAGTTAGAGAGGACCTTGGATATTTTTTTTTTCTTTGAGAGGTAAAGCAAATAAGAGCCGTTAAGAACTATTAAGATCAAGCAACCATTTAGTAGCAAAACCTTAGGTAGAAACTTTACCTACCTTAATCACTGGTATATTCCTAACCTCTAGAGAGGCAGTTGTCAGCTAGGGGGCCATTTTGCCCTGTTGGGGGACATTTGACAAGGTCTGGAGACATTTTTGGTTGTTACAAAGGAGAATGGGGGATAGGAGGGCTATTGGCACCTAGAAGCCAGAGATGCTGTCCAACACCCTCCATCGTACAGAACGGCACTTACAGCAAAGAATTGTCTGCCTCTGATATCAATGGTGAAAAGACTGAGAAACCCTGCCTTACGGGGGAGATAAACAAATTCATTGTAGACACATAACCTGACTCCCACGTTGAGAATGCACATGCATTCTCAAGAAGGGAGAGAGATACTACCAAGTGGACAAAATTTGGTTCTTTGAGACTAAGTGTAAAGCCATATATAACCATTTATCTGTGGCATGAAATTTCATGGAGAGGAAGCCAGTGAGGGGAAAAGAAGTCTAAAAGGTTTGCTTGGGAGGGAGGTAACAAAGGAAAAAAAAAGACTGGGAAATACTGAAAAAGCACGATTGCAAGGGTGGGTTCTCTTCCGCCACCCTCTGCACTGCGATTGGCATTTGAACAAGCGTCACTGTCATGCACGTTCAGCTCCGCTTCCTGGCTGTGCTGTCTCTAGGGTGCTGCTGTCTCTCTGTTTCTCCAGCTGCCACTCTGCATCCTAGGAAGCGAAGAAACATTTTCAGGTTATTCTTTGGCTGCCTATCCTTTCGTTTTCTGGAACTAAAGATGAAAAGATACAGAAAAAGGGGAGAATAGGGAGTGGGTGTGAGAAGAGATTTATGGTTACAGTATTTTGGCCACCTCCCAAATCAGGACACATAAGGGAGGCTGCTGTTTTCTGGCTGGTATGACTCTTGTGTCCTGGGTGGTGTTGACCAACCGTTGGGCAGGTCAATGTGTGCAGTGGCTTCATGAGATGACTCAGGGGCATGCTTTTCATTGTTTCATTTTTCTCAGCCCATCTGTAGAATCTCATCATTTCTGAGCCTTCGAGAATATTTGAGTGGGTAATGGTGAGAGCCTTCTGCAATATGCTACTTGAATTATTTATTTATGTATTTATTTAGAGACAGAGTTTTGCTTTTGTTGCCCAGCCTGGAGGGCAGTGGCATGATCTCAGCTCACTGCAACTTCTGCCTCCTGGGTTAAGATATTCTCCTGCCTTAGCCTCCCGAATGGCTGGGATTACAGGCATGTGCCACCACACCTGGCTAACTTTGTATTTTTCGTAGAGACAGGTTTCTCCATGTTAGTCAGTCTGGTCTTGAACTCCTGACCTCAGGTGATCTGCCCACCTCAGCCTCCCGAAGTGCTGGGATTACAAGTGTGAGCCACCGCACCCAGCGAATGTTTTAATTTTTAATTGAGATTTTAAAAGTGTGTCTGGCTGGCAGGGCGAGACCCTGTCACAGCCAAAAAGTATGCTTAGATTCATTTTGGATTTGTGGGTAAACAGATCCTTTTTTGTTTGAAATGATTAGCATGGTTTTGTGACTTCTAGAACAATGTTTTGGGCATCAAGTATGCAAGTCTGGGCTTCTCCAGATAACCATGAGTGAGTATCTTGAAGTAAGTCTCTTAAATCTAAGCGAGTACCCCAAATCCAGTGGGAGGAGAGAGATGTATCTGTGGCCATCACTGGAAATACGTTAGACTTGAGAGATTTCCAGAAATGTCTGTAGAGTATGTTCACATAGAGATTTAAGGGTGAAAGGGGAATGTTGAAGGGACATTCTTTTTTCTGACATTTCCTCCCCCCAACATGGAACCTATGATGAGTTTAAAAATAGCAGAGCCTATTAAGCCACAAAAAGCCAGAGAAACAGGGCAGTAAAAAATAATGAAATGCAATATTCAGAATACATGGAACAGCCATGATTTACTTTAATCCTAGGGACTAGGAATAATACACCTGCCTTGGAAAAGGGGATGGCATAATGTTAGCATAACATCGAGGGTTTAATAATTTTTGACCACATTTTATAGACGCTTTCCTGCAATTAATGCTAAATAAAGTCAACATCTTCTCCACCTGCTGCTGTGTTTGGGGCTTTCATCGTGTGCCCCCCTCTCCTTCATTACCCCAGGCTGTCATAGTTCCTGCTGAACTCGTTCATTTTTAGTTCTTTGCCCTCGATAATCTCTAGGACTATCACATGTACTGCCCGTGGTATATATGGTTTTCCATTCTTTTCTTGCAAGAGTGAAGCTAATTGAATTCAGTGCCACTCGTCTCTTTGCTGGCATCATCAGGCCACCTCTGCAGGGCAGTGCGTCTGCATGTTTTTTCCCATAAGGATTGGGTATAATTTTTCTTTCATTTTACTTTTTAATAAAAACAAATTAACATGATGTGGTGGGAATGCATATATGTTGGTCAACGGGTACAAAGGTCAAGTTAGGCAGGATAAATAAGCTCTAGGAGTCTACTGTATGACATGGTGACTATGTCAGAGGCGTTGGAACCAGAGTGAACAGGGGTTCCTCTTGGAGGTTCCCTTTTGAACAGGGGCTGGGTAGAATGAGACCTGTTGGGCTGTACTCCCAGCAGGTTAGGCATTCCTAGTCAGAGGATGAAACAGGAGGTCAACACAAGATCCAGATCACAAATACCCTGCTGATAAAACAGGATGTGGTAAAGAAGCCAGCCAAAACCCACTAAATCCAAGATGTCAAGGAAAGCAACCTCTTGCTGTCCTTACTGCTCATTATATGAGAACTATAATGCATTAGCTTGCTAAAAGACACTCCCTACAGTGCCATGACAGTTTGCAGATGCCATGGCAATATCTGGAAGTGACCCTATGTGGTCTAAAAATGCGAGGTGCAGTGTTTCCCTCAGTTCTGAGGGTTGCCCACTTCTTTCCCAGAAACCTAATGAATAACGCCCCCCTTGCTTAGCATATAATCAAGAAATAACCATAGAAAGAGCCAACCAGCAGCCCTCGGTGCTTCCCTGTCTGTAGAATAGCCATTCTTTTATTCCTTTACTTTCCTAATAAACTTGCTTTTGCTTTACTTCTTGGACTAGCCCTGAATTCTTTCCTGCTCGAGATCCAAGAACCATCTCTTGGGGTCTGAGTTGGGACCCCTTTCCAGCAACAACTATACTGTTGTGGTGCTGTATACCTGAAAATTGCTAGGAGTGTAGATCTGAAGTCTTGTCACCACACACACAAATGATATTGAGGTTTTCTTTGTTAATTAGCTTGAATTAATCATTTCACAATATATGCATCTATCAAAACATCATATTGGACACCATAAATATACACAAGTTTTATCTGTCAACTATATCTTAATAAAGCTGGGAAAATTTATTTTTTTAAATTAATATGATTGGCTTTACATACACACACACAGAGCTATTCTTTAATTCTCTGTCTCTTCCCTTTCTTAAGGGAGTCTTTAAAAACATCTAGAGTTATAGTTTGAACCTCTCTGTTTTAGGGTAGAGATTTTCACGGGACTAAGATTCTCTGACTATCTTCATGTAAATTGCAGTCATTATATCACATTGATGTTTTATTTCAATTGCTACTTGACAATCACTTGAAGGCTCTGGTCCAAGATCTCATGATAAAATGAACACCAGGTGGGTTGTAAAACATATGACTTCAATTTTGAAAAAAAGACTCTTATCCTCATGTTAGTCTTTGTGTCTAGTGAGCCATGTTGGGATGTCGAGATGCAAGAGACAAAAAACTTCATTTTGCAAGAGGAAGTTTGCACAACTGAGACTCAACCATTGCTTTCCTGAGTTTTGAGAGTGTGTGTGTGTGTGTGTGTGTGTGTGTGTGTGTATGTATGTTTACTTTGGATGGAGGGAGTTGAAAGTATTAGCTATAAAAACCATTAGCAATTCCTAGTCGATCTAAATCAGTCTAAACATTTTTCAAAATCTCGCCTAGATTCTTGCACTAGTTTGCCTGCACCAAGGCGATTAATTCACACAGGGGGCTGTTTATTTAATTGTAGTAACAGCATATAAAGCCAAGACACTGTCTAATCTCCTGTTCTTGAGTTTTTAAATCCCAAATGGTGAATGGCAAGCAAGGCTGCTAGTTTTATAGCTTCATGAATTAGTTCAGCTGAAAAGTATTTTGCAGGTTTTCATTTGGGAGCCATTGGGTGCAGGGAGATGTGGGAGGGGTAGAGTGGGAATTGTTAGCCAGCACTAATCGGTTCTTGGCCTCTAGCAATTCTCTGTGGCAGAATAAAGGGAAGAGATAATTATTCTCCTTAATCACTGAGTCAATGACTGCATTTAGAACCCTCAGCTTAAACACAGACCAGATTTCCCAGAGAATATTCTCAACCTTTCACTGATCTGATTTTGAAGTGAATGAATGTTCTGAAAATATCTGCTAGCAGGGCCTTTCTGGTTTGCCTGGGATTCATAGAGACAAGGAACCTCCAGTGGCTTCAGTTGGGTGACCTTTCTCATATCTGTCACCAGGCTGTTAATGAGAGTGGGTTTTTGCATCTTTGCAATTTGGTGTCATGGCAGGAATCACCGAGGAACAGGATCCAAAGACTAATTGCCTTTACCTCTTTTTCTATCTCCCAGTCCTCAAATCCTCCCTTTGCTGCTATGTCATTTTCATCTGAGTCGTGGATTTGTGACTTTAGGAATGCATGAATGAGAAGAAAAACAAAGGCAAAAAAGAAGACAGCACACAGGCCCCAGTGGTGTCCATTTTCCCGAAAGGGCATTGGAGGCTTGGCAGACATACGAAAACACGTGCAAGGAAAATGTGTGGTTCTTCAAATTAATTTTTCTCTCTTTGATCTATCAGTACAGGAAGGTCAACGTCTTTGGGTTGTGTGCTGATTGAGCTGAATTGTCATGTGACTTTTGCTCAGGAGCTCAATTTTGCTCCTGAAAAATATGCTAGTCTACCTATAATTCCTGTTTCCCCCATTCTTTCTTTCTCAGCCTTACCTGTCCTTTAAGATTTACCTTATCCAGGAAGGCTTTCTGACTACCCCATCACAGGTGACTCCCTCTCCTGTTTCTTGTGGTGAATAGGCCCAAAGTTTATCCTTCCTTGTTTTTATAAAAAATAAATTATTTTTCTTATTGTAAAAAACATATTGCCATATTTGCTTCCAGAGAAACTGGAGCACTTGTGAAAGTATAAGAAATAAAACAAAAATGAACCCCCTTCCTTGGTTTCATAACCTGGAAGGTAATGTGTGAAGGGTTTTGTGATGCTTCAGGTTTAGAGACTTGGAAAGCTGCTTGGAGTTGAATCCTAACTCTGTGACTTCCCAGCTGGGTGACCCTGGGTAAGTTACTTGACCAATCTGTGCCTGTCACTCCCCTGGTAGGTTGGGGATAATAACAGTACTTTGTTTGTAGTTTACCATGAGGTTAAACGAATTAATCTCTATGGAAAAATCTTAAAATGTTGACTGCCACATCACATAGTAAGCCCTATATGAGTGTTAACTGTTATTACGATGATTTTGGTTGTTGTAATTAATCAATATGTCTAATGTCTCTCTCTCTCTCTCCCCCGCTCCCCCCCGGATTGAATGGCAGAATTCGTAAAGATGTGACGTGTAGCATTTTAATGAATGAATTGGGTGCACAAACATTATTCCTATCTTAATCTTACACCCATACTTGTCATTTTGTAAGTATTATTTTTTTCTAACTTTCTTTAATGCATTTTGTCTAGTATATACAACTTTCTGAAGTCTCTTTAAGTCCTTTTGTGAAGCAAGATAGGGTACCAAATCGTAACTACTCAACCTTCTTATTTCCAGAGATCTTTTTATGGGCATGCATTTTCTCTTCTACCACATGGTGGCAATTTTAAGGAAAGAAATCTTCTTTTAGCTTCATAATGCCCCCACAGCTCTTTGAAATCCTTCTTGTATGTGGTAAGATTCAATAATTTGTTGGCTAGATGTTTCTAAGCACTTTTCTTTTTTATGAACTTCTATCATAGATATGTTCTGCTACGGAATGCAGCATCAATTGACGAGGGGTCAGCATAGGGATCCAAAAAAAGACTTCCATTTTGCATTTCATTTTGTCTCATTTCACTAGAATTGAATGCAATGTCATAAATTATCATAGAATCCTTTAGCCCTCACCCAGAGTTCTTTTACGATGTAGGTTTGTCATAGCCTTGACGGCAAGGTTTCTTGTCAAGCAATGCACACAGAGTATAAATTCCACAGTCATGTGGAAGAAACTTCTAGTTCGCTTCACTCAACTTCTTTCCACAAAAGAGAAAGCAGGCCTAGAGAGTTTGTCATTTCTTTGGGGTTGATGAAAAACTTAAAGCAAAGCTAGAACTGGATTCTCCTTATTTTAAGTCCACTCTTCTTGCCAGGAGGTGTTGACTTGGAAATGTTCTTTTCGGCCGGGTGCAGTGGCTCACCCCTGTAATCACAACACTTTGGGAAGCGGAGGCGGTGGATCACCTGAGGCCAAGAGTTCGAGACCAGCCTGGCCAACATGGTGAAACCCTGTCTCTATTAAAAATACAAAAATTAACCGGGCGTGGTGGTATATCCCACCACTCAGGAGGCTGAGGCTGGAGAATTGCTTGAACCTGGGAGGTGGAGGTTGCAGTGAGCCAAGATTGCACCACTGCACTCCAGCCTGGGCAACAGAGTGAGACACCATTAAAAAAAAAAAAAAAAAAAAAAAAAGCACCCTAAAAACCCTGACTTCCTGAATTCAACTTATAGTTTATTTTCTGTTTTTCAAAGTAGCCTGTGGGGGCACATAGAGGCTTCAGACACCACCCAGCCCTTCGAATGTGGTTTGGAGACAGGCGAGCTGCCGGGTGCTGGACCCCATCTGAAGACCCAGTTCCTGAAGTTCCCTTTATGACCCTGGTTCAACCTGCCTTGATTTTCCACAGGGAAGACGATGTGGAAATTACTCTTTTGGAAAGCGATTTTCAAAGTAGACTTCACTCAAACTCGACAAATAATTAACTTTTCATCCTCTCATAAAATTGAGACTGTGGCTGGTTCAAAGCCCAAGACCCCGGGCCTTAATTGAATTAACTCGGTTTTCCATCCTTGTGAAGGATCCTTCCAAACCATAACATTTAGCAAGGGCTGCCCTTCCTGGCGAGAACATAAGCGCCCATTGAAGGAGGATCGCCGAGTCAGGGCTGTGGCCTGAGTGGAAAATGGGACACTCTCCGAAGGGGACAGAACACTTTCTGTTTCTTACACTTTAAAGTTCAGTGTGAATGCGTCTCCCCACAACTTTATCTTCGCCAAAGCAAAGAGAACAGCTAGCCCACTCGGCTTCCCAGCCGTCTCACACACCTGGCTCATTCTCACTTCGTGTCTTTGCATCTATTACCTTCTTCACTTGGAATGAGTGCTTTTTCCTCTCTTCTCAACCCCACTCCTGCCCGTTACCTCCTTTCTGACCTAACTTGCCACTGCTCAGCACTCTCCCTCTCCTTCGCTTCAGCTCATGGATTTTGGCTTCGCTCACGTCCCCTTTACATAGGAATTTGTGTCCCTCATCTTACAAAATAAACATCCTTAGGCAACTTCATGTAAAAAGTTGCAAGACAGGCCGGGTGTGGTGGTTCACACCTATCATCCCAGCACTTTGAGAGGCCTAGGAGAGACAATCACTTGAGGCCAGGAGTTTGAGACCAGCCTGGGCAACATAGTGAAACTCCCTATGTCTAGGAAAAAAATAAGAAAAAATCAGCTGGTTGTGGTGGCACATGCCTGTAATCCCAGCTACTCTGGAGGCTGAAGTGGGAGGATCCCTTAAGCCCAGGAGTTCAAGGCTGCAGTGAACTATAATGGCATCGTGTCACTCCAGCTTGGGCAACAGAGCAAGACTCTGCCTCAAATAGAAAAAAAAAAAAGTTGCAATACAGATGTAAGTTCCATTGATCAGTGATTGAAGTCATCCTACAAAATTGAGATGAGTCAGTTGATGAGACTCTTCTGTTTGTTGTTTGACTGTATGTCAAACAATTGTATGTCCAGAAGAGGGAAAATAATAACAATTAGAAGAATACGTGAAACAAAGGGCTTCCAATTAAACTGGAAGTCCACTGAGGGCAGGCAGCTGTTCCCTCTTTATCGTGTTCTCCAACTGCCTTTGCACATTGCTATGCATGACTCAAGATCCAGTAAATACTTGACACATTGTCTGCAAAACAAGAAGAGGACATCTCCTATGTCTGAAAGCTGGCACAATTTTGATGCAAAAATATGTTCTAAAATAATTTTAAGTTCTTGAAAGCTAAATTATAAAGAAGTAGAGAGTGTTTTTCTTTTCTTTCAAAATATTTCTGGTCTCATATTGAGAGGCTGTTGCATTTGAGGTAATCTCTTAAAGACCACTAAAATCTACTCAACCACAGAACATTTAGGCATGCTGAACCTTGGAATTAGTGATCCACCAAAGGAAATGTAGAATTAAATTCTCATATTGAAGCTGACACTTCAGCTTCATCTCTGGGACTGTACAGGGAAAAGTCTCTCTGTGTGGGATACGAAATATAGTTTGTGATTCCAGGTCAACAGAGGAAACTCCCTTGGTTTATTTTATTTGGATTTTGCTTCCATAGTGTTGCTGATCTGAGTTTTTGGTTTTTTTTTTTATTGGCAGTGAATTATGCTGCCTATCTCTGTTTTGGCGTATGAACTCTTTGGAAGTGATTCTCCAGTTTGTATGAATATAATCAGAAGGCTATGCTTATGAACATAAAAGAGCGGTGATTCTGCACCAAAATAGAGTGCCTTCCTTGAGCAGAAGCAGTTAACTTCTAGAAACTTAGGCAGGTCCTGTGAGTATCAGGTCACTTTTCTGTGCCCTCTTCCAGTTGCCTTCTTCTCTAGCCACTACCCCTTGCACTTGTGTGTGAGTCTCCTACAATTACTCCAAGTTAACTCTCTTTACTTCCAGCTCTGATTTTCAAGCACCGAATTTTGAGAGCCTACATCTTTCCCCAAAATTTTCTTTCACAATTTGGTCAATTGGTTTTAAGGAAAAGCATTATGAAAACAGTATGTTGAAGATGGCAGCCTGACACCCTATAGGTGGAAAAGAGATCTTTAAAGGAGATGGTACCTCTGCTCAAATATCAGACAGCAGAGTGTGGGTAGCTGACATGCCAAGTTAGGAGCTATTCGTTGTTTATATTAAGAAACAAAATTGGAGTTGAGAATAGCTGGACCATCAGAATTCCATTCTTTCTGCTTCTACTTCAAATAAGAAAAGGATGAAAATAAGTCCATTCATCATTGGCTGTATCTGAAACTGAGCAAGGTTGGTAAAATATTTTAAAAACAAGCAGGAAAGCCAGTTCTCTCTTACTCACCATAAGCCTGTCCTTCCAACCCTGCAAACATAAGCGGCGGTGACACTTTGATGTATGAAGCAGGTGAAAAGGAAAGTCTGCAACGTGTATCATAGATGCTAAAAGGGGGATGGATGGAACATAATAATAGTAATAGAAATAACAATAACTGCCCTATGTTGAATCCTTTCGATGTTCCAAGCTTTCACGTGCTTTATCTCATTAAATTCAGATGACAACCCCATTCAATAGGTTCTCTTCTTGCCTAATTTCTATAGATGATGAGATAAGTCAGTTTTCCATGTTAGGGTCTGGGTTCACAGCCAAGTCAAGCTGACTCAGAGTTTCTGTTGTTATCCAGGATGAAATTTAGAGAGCCCCCTGCAACACTGCTGCTTCTCACTTTTTGCTTCAAGTTCTTCTTATCCTTTTTCTTGTATGCATCCTTTTCCACCTTGTATTAGGGTTTTCTAGAGGGACAGAGTAATAGGATATATGTATAAAAGGGAGTTTATTAAGTACTCACATGGTCACAGAGTCCCACAACAGGCTGTCTGCAGGCTAAAGAGCAAGGAGAGCCAGGCCAAGTTCCAAAACTGAAGAACTTGATCCCAAGGGCAGGAAGCATCCAGCACGGGAGAAAGAGGTAGGGTGGGAAGCAAGGCCAGTCTCGTCTTTTTCACATTTTTCTGCCTGCTTTTTATATTCTGGCCGTGCTGGCAGCTGACTAGATGGTGCCAACCCAGATTGAGGGTGGGTCTGTCTCTCCCAGTCCACTGACTCAAATGTTAATCTCCTTTGGCAACACCCTCACAGAGACACCCAGGATCAATACTTGATATCCTTCAATCCAATCAAGTTGACACTCAGTTATTAACCATCTCACATCTGAACCAGATTCTTTCCTTTGGGAGTAAATATATGGAAACCTAACTTGGGAAGTGATGAGAGTATGTCATGGCTCAGGTAGCTCTTCCCATGAACAAGGGTGGAAAGGCCAAATGCCTGCAGACAGCCTTGCCCAGAAAAATGGTGGGCTTGGCCGTGTGTGTTATCTTCCTGAGTTTCATAATGTATGGAGAGCCACTTAGGGTTTTAGTCCTCTATCTCCCCAACTCTCCAGAAGAGATGATGTTATTAGAAATACTTCTCTCCACCCTGGTTAGCGAATATCCTGTCAATCTGAGATTGGCATGATGAAAACTGGAGGGTATTTCTTATTTTTCCAGTAAGGAAAATTGTACTGGGACAAACACCCAGTCTTGCCTAAGTTTCTCATGGTGTGGTGCTCCCTTAAGAGTGAGTGGGTTTGGAGTCTTGGAGGCTTGGGTTCAAATCTTCATTTCTGTAACTTTCTAGTGACATATTCTTTGAGCTTCAGCTTACCAGTAAGCCCATAAACTAAATGTAATAATGACTACTTCAAAGGGGTCTTAGGAGAACTACCTGAGATTTTTATTTAGTTGCTACTGAATTTTCTAGTATATCACAGGTACTCAATGAATGTTGTAAGCTGTTATCATCATCGTTATTATTATTGGTCATTAATACTATATTCGGTCAAACTTAAGGGAAACGTGGAAACATGGGATGGTGTGATGGTTTTTTAACCAAGCTGACCAATCTGGAGCATGAGTTACTTCAGGAGTAGGAATGATCAGCCATCATTGACAAATACGTCATTTCCCATCCAAAAGGCGACCCTGTATAATCTGCCTGGCTGCTGTGCAGACTGAAACTCCAGCCTTTATATGACAGATGCATTTTTTAGACAAATGGTAAATAACCAAATCCCTTTGCAAGCACCGATTCCAACTTAATCAAATAACTGCCGTTCCGCCCTTGTTAATCCTCGGCATGTACCCAAATCTAACTTCCCTGGACTTCTCTTTTCTGAGGTTGATTATTTTCAGCAGATGGATGGGGTGTCTGTGGCAAAGCATTGCTCATTGTACCCACAGTTCATATTTCAGTAGATAAATATACCACATGCTGTAATCCAGGATTCCAGTGGGCACCCAACCCTAAAGGAAGCTTTGAGGATAGAAGTCAATCAACTCTGAGGGAGGGAGAATCATAGACACTGGAGTTAGTGTTGCGAGTGAGCGCATTGCTGGGAGACTTCTTTGTTTATTTACCCAGATATTAGACAAGTGGAGAGTCAGGCTACCCATCTAATTACTTCTCTGCTCTAAAACACCATTGAATCTGTACAGATATAATCTTTAGAAAGAAATAATGCATATGTTCACTTTTTAACAGTCAAGGATAGATAATAGAAAGAGGGTGAATGATAGGTGCAAGTATTTTATTTAGAAAAATTCTTAAAATTGACATGTATTTTTCAAATGTCCTAGTTTTGATGTGTTTTTCAGGTAGTCTGAGGTTTCTCATAAAAGGAAGCTGTGTTGTTGATGTTTCACTCCTGGGCTCAAATTGGATCCCAAAAAGTGTCCCATGATAATGTTTGTCTCATTCAGTTGCTTCATCTTTGTTATGATTGTGGAGAGAGAAAAAATGATTAGGCAAGCAATTGTGTGTGCACAAGTACAGGTGTGTGCACATCAAGGCTACAGACAGTGTGCGGGCATATCAACAAATGAATGCATGGGTTCATTTCCAGCAGATAAATGCTACCAAAATGTAATGTTCTTGGTACGGAAAAATCTCAAATCTGTGAATAAACCTCAAGTAACAGATACAGGCAAAGGGAATTGAACAGACAACTCAAAAAAAAAAAATACAAATGGCCAACAAACATATGTATGGAGAACCTTCAATGTTAATGGAAATGAAAGAAATGAAAATTAACGTGACATTCTGTTTTCACCTATCATTGGTGATTTTTAAATGTCAATTTTAATTTCAGGCTGGCTGCGATGTGATGGTCAGTGATCTGTTCGTGGATTGGTACCTTTTTTTAGTTACTGTGGCCAATGACATATTGTATTACCTGGTAGTTTTCTCCCCAAGTTGTTTCTATCTGTTTTCCAGAAAATTATTGGTTCTTCTTGCACATATCCCCTGCCCGTCAGATAAACTTTAGAATCACTCTTTCAAGTTTCATAGCATGCTTTTGGCATTTTGATTGAGCAAACATTAACCACATGGATTAACTATAGATTGACTTAGAAAGAAGACACACTTACAATGTTGTCTTCCATCTTCAAAGTTCTATTGCTTGTTAGTGTATTTCTTGGACCTTCATCTTTTCATATCATCCAGAACAAGGGACACCTATGGGCACGGGCACTGCAGATGGAGCTCTTGTGAGGGTGACTAGTACATCTTAGTAAATAAACGATTGTTAAATAAATAAATGAAGGAATGATCCAAGCAACGGAAAGTGAACTCATCTCTACTTGCTTACCATCTAGCTTGTGCTTAATCCTGGCCCTCCTGCCCTTCCCGGATCTGGGCACCCTTGCCCTTCTGTTCCCGCACTTACGTGTCAGGCACTCTTACTCCCCTGAACCTGGGTACCTGCTGTTGCTTTGGCAGAAGAAATTCCCTTTGCTGCCTCCATCTGCAGCAAACTTCATCTCTTTCTTATTTGACTGTCAGGTCATAGGTCATGGTTATTTCCTCCAGGAAGCCTTTACAGATCTTACTCCTGAAACTGAATTTAGCATCCACCACATAGCATCAGTATTTCCCCTTTGATCAAACAAGCACCCGCACCCTTCCCTCCTTCCCTCCCTCCCTCCCTCCCTCTCCCTTTCTCCCTTTCTCCCTCTCTCCCTCTCTTCCTTCCTTCCTTTCTCCCTCCCTTCCTTCCTTCTTTCCCTCCCTCCCTCCTTCCCTCTTTTCTCTCTCTCTCTTGCTCTCTCTTTTCTTTCTTTCTTTCTCTTTCTTTCTTTCTTTCTTTCTTTCTTTCTTTCTTTCTTTCATTTCTTTGTTTCTTTCTTTCTCTCTCTCTCTCTTTCTCTTTCTTTTCAAAATGGTAAAATGCCATTTTGTATTCTTGGTGACTTGTCTGTTCTCTACCTTGAAGTTGAGTTGAAGACTTTTTTTTTCTTTCTTACTACTCCTCTGGATTGCAGCTTTTAAAATTCAAAGCTGCCTAATGGGCTGTTTAGGGGGTAGTGAGACCTCTATCACTAGAGACATTTAAACACCTGATAAGGGATTGGACTGAATGACTGTTTTCAGGATTGCAATTTGTGATTCTATATCCCATGTTCTCAGAGCACTTAATAAGGGCAGTTAAACGAAACATTTAGTTTAAACAGTTATCCACTTATAGCGTCTATTAGGCTAAATGCATTTTGCATATGTTTAAGATGACTTTTACTATGGTAAATAAAATCTTACCATTTTCCTGATGCTCACAGGAGATTCTGTGACATCAGGTACTGGAAATGCATTTAAGCTCACTTGGCAATTGTTTGGTGCCATACCACATATTTTACCAGTCATTTAACTTGATCAATTTTTTTAATAAGACAAATATATTGTATAAAGTGACACTGCAATTTAGACAAGGGCACCTAATATTTTACAAACCTCAAATCTGGGAAAGAAAAAGTGCCTTTTTCCCCTTGCTACCCACAGATACAAAAATAAACACTTTAGTAAGGATTCTGGGCAAGGATTCAGGAAGCCTGAGTCCTAGTTTTGGTTCTTCTATAGGTAAGGACTGAGGGCTTTACATTTTGTTCAGTGTATGGAAATTCAAGGTGCAAAGTAGTAGTTTAACAGAGACCAGGGGCTGGGCCACTCTTGCACAATGTCATTATAGTAAACCTATGAGGCATCAAGGGGCTATTAAAATAGTTTCCAACACAGCACAGAGACCCAGTGCTGGATGGAACATTCTGTCTATGCAGATGAGTTCAGAGCTTGGGAGAAAATAGGATCTGGGCTCCTGAGAAGTGTAATGAAGACTGAAAGCATTTGCCTCCAGCTTCAGGGCTTCTGGGTGAGGTTCTGCTTCAGTCACCTGATATCCCTTCACCATGACATAAGCAAAGAGAATTCTTTCCACCTGATGGAGAAATTCACTGATAGTTACTCCACAGCTTTATGGTGGATGCCTCATTTTGACTTCCACTTCAGAAAGCTTCCATCTGCTCTGTCTTGTTAATTCTGTCTTCTCAATGGAATCCTGTGTCCCATTTACCTAGAGATAAAAAAGGTTCTTTTAAACAAGACAACAATTAAAAATCCAATGAATTAATCAACCCTCAGTGCTTTGCTCAGATAGTCTTTTATGCCACTTTTGTGAGATTTTAAGTGTGCAGTGGAAAATAAGTTTTTTGCAACATGTCCAGACTTCTGCTGATACCTTCCCCGTCTCTATCTTGTCTAAATTAGGTCCCTCCACTTTGTGCTGTCACAATACCCAGCACTTGCTGTTTGCAGTCCTTGATGCATTTGGATGACTATTTCCTGAATGACGTTCTCACTCTCTAGATGAAAAATCTGTAAAACCAATGATCCTGCCGCTCCTGTGTACCATGTTTTATTCACCCAGCAGCCAGCATAGAGCTTGGAACAGTAGGTACCTGGGAAGTACGTGGTTCAGACACTTATTCTGGTTTCTGTTTCGTTTCAACATACAGCAGTGTTGGGTTAGGTGGGGCTGGTGCAGTCATCTGGTGATGTGGTTTACTAAAGCAATCAATGAGAATGTTCTGATCAAGAAAGACTTCACACTTCTCCCATTGATTTATTTATATCAGATAAGTGCCAATTCTTTCGGAATTCCTGTCTTATAATTTGCCTGCTAAGGTAAGTGTGGATGAAGAAGAAAATTTTATAACAATTAGAAAAAAAAATGTACCATGCCTAACATTTATATCCTCTGGGCATCCAGTAAGTCTCACTGGGCTACTGCCAGGTCAGTTTTTCAGTCTCCTAAGAAAATGAAAGAGATTTGGAGTTCAGTTTGAAACAGGTGGAAGGGAGCTTATAGTGGGTTCTTTTATCCCTCTCAAGGTAACTCAATGTGCTACATGTAGCTTGGGTTTGATCTGAAGTATGAATCATTCATTAGGTAAATGGCTTAAAGGGGCTGGATCTAAGGTCATGCATGTTGCACTGTGGGTGGTGAAAGTATCAGGTTCTTGATGACGATTGGTGGAAATATATCACCTCTGTCTTGTATCATAATGTAATTTTTATTTATTTCTTTTCTCTACCACCCCCTTCTCCTCTTCCCCCTTTCTCCTCCTGGACTGCCTACTCTTTCTTCTTCTTTTTTATTCCCTTTCCCACTCCATTCCTCCTGAGTTGGCCTTTTCTGGCTGTGTAGGACAAATACCAGGTAATATTCAAGACATGCTCTGAAATGTTCTACAATTCAGAGACTTGGCCAAATCAGTTTTGGCCATTTTGATCAGGATGGAGGATACTCAGTTTCCAAACTCATAATGCATTACTAGGATAAATCTGTGTGGAGCCCTTTAAATTCCTTAAGCCAGAAACAGGCAGTTAGACCCTTCTTCCTTTTTATTTTTTTTTTGTTCAAGTGACTGCAACCACCATGCTAAACTAATTATATCATTTCCTAATTTATTTGGAATGTGTATTTGTAGAGCTATACATGTATACATATCTATCTATACTTTTAAGGAAAATGAAGTCAATAGTCACCAGTTTTTTTTTTTTTTAAAGTCAAATAATTCCAAATGCATTAGACCTTTTCCGAATGCATAAGAACCTGAGAAGGGTGGATTTGTGTTCTCTGAGGATCTGATTTTACAGCTCGCTTACTTCATTCACTTCACCTCCGTCTCGGGGCTCGGATCATTCCTGATAAGGCGCTTGGACAATTGGTTCTGGTTTCAACTTAAGTCTCGTGGCTCTACTTTATTTATTTAGATTTTGTTGTTGTTAAATATTACAGTCTGCTTAATGCGTTTCTAAGACGAGATTTTTATTTTTCAGGTTTTATAAAATTGTTATAAAATTTTCTGTCTTTCGTTTTCTGTGTTCTACAGCTTGACATGGAAGAGTTCTCCTGAAATACGGACTGTTTTGTACCACTAGCAAATACGCTGATAAATGCTAAAAAGATAAATTGCCACGAATCATTTGATCACAGGATTTTAAGGCCCCGCTAGGCATGATTATGGTCTCCCACCGGTCAAGCCTGAGGCATTCTGTTAACATTCTTTTAGAAGATCAAGACATGGAATAGTGTGATGGATCTAACCACTCTAAAATGAAGTTCTTTTGTCATATTAGAAACAAGGGTCTATTTTGGGGGTAGGAACCAAGATAGTCTTACTTGTATTGTATTCAGCCTTATTTACGATTTTTTATTTTTTAAAAACACAACAAAGCCATAATGACTCCTTATTTTCTTTCCATACTTGAAACAACTGCTGATCAAGAAACAGTTTAATCCAAATTCCGAATCTTTGAACACATACGCCACTTTCAAAGGGGGCTGGGCACGATTCAATGGGCCCTAGGAGCCTATATCCTATTTCTCCCTCTGTCTCTCCCCGTCACTGTCCCGCCCCCTCTCTCTTTCTCTCTTCTGTCTTTCCTTTTGTTCCCTACTATCACGAGGAAGAAGGATAAAAATGTGATTTGGCTGGAACAGATTGAAACTGAGTAAAGTTGAACAAACACAAATCTTCCACAATGAAATGTAAATTTGTCTAAGCTATAATGCCAAATATTTTTTTTCTTTCCTTCTCAATGGTAGCAATAACAGAGAAGCACATTGGCCCCATGATCAAGAGGGAACTTTGCCCAACTCCTGGTATTAATGAAACAGAGACTTAAAAAACAACAGCAAGCTTCCCATGGCCTGGCAGAGTTTCAGAGTCTCAATCTGAGCAAGGCTTCAGAGAACCTCTCTACCCTCTTTGCTCTGTGTTTTTTTTTTTTCTTTTTCTTGTTCCATCTTTTATCTCCCTGCACCATCAGTGTTTTCTGTGTGAAATTTTCTTGATATTTCTTAATGAGGTAACCAATTTGACTTGAGAATACATCAGATCCAAAGCATAAAGAATGGGACCCCCTGGACATATCCACTTTGATAAGGTTACCCGAGTTTCCCTTCCGTGAAGGGCACAGCAGTTCTGCATTCTCATTATTTGTGTTTCATCGATGTGCTCCCCATCACCTCTACCCAGGAGTGAAGCTGAGAGTTTTGCTTTGAGTAAGATGAGGTTTTGCAACCTGATGAGATGAAATGGGTCAACACACCTGGGCAACTACACACCTGGACCACATCCCCTACTGCATCCTGTGATGGGTTTGCTTGTATCTACTGAGCTTGACCTTGAGAAGACCCTATGGCTTGGGTGCTGGTGTTAAATAGAGTGGGCATTTCTTTTTATCCTGACTATACTTGGAATGCTGAAAGTGACATGGATTTGAGGCATCTGGTTGCTTGGTTGAGGAACACAGAATACAGAACATTGATATCTCAAGACAGCGCCAGTGATTTTCAATGTTTCTGAAGTAGCAGATCTCTTAGCTGTGTTTTTAAGCCTTGGAACACTAAAATCCAGTGGGCTGTTGTGACAAGATGTGGGTAGATGATGGAATAGAAATGTATACAGGTCACTGTACATTGAACTGCAATCCCTCTGATATGAAATTCAAATACTCTCAGCATCATTCTGGTTATCCCTATTTGGCCAGGAAGAATTTTACCCAAATCATTACAAGTGAATAATTATTTGGTTTTCTTTAGAAGTAGTTCTGGAAAAAAACTTAGTATTTTAGGATACACTTTGGATACCGTTCTTTGGAAATGTCTCTTAATGCGAAGTCATTGGCCTTTTGTAGTGTTTTTTCCTTCTTTCTAAGTGAAAGATTTAATGTTTTAACACTTTATTTTTCCCCTTCACATTGGCTTATGACAGCCGATGAGTTGGACTTCCAAAATGCTAATTCAAGCTTAATGTTCCTTCCAGCCATCAGTCAAGCTGCATTAGATTTTCCCAGTTGATAACTTCCAGTTCCAGTTCTGTGAATCCAGTCTCCTCAACCTGTCATCACCTAAAATATTAGTTTTAAATTGAATAATAAAGGCACATTACATCTTCATCAAATGCAGATCAAATAGCATGGCATCTAATATTCTTATAGTTCTCTATGTGAAATGACTTTAAGAAATTTTCCAAAATTATTTTCTCCTCAAAACATCAATGCTATGAGTTACTTGAGATCACCCGAGTCATCTTTTAATAACACAAATTATGTCCAGCTTTCTGGGTCTCTGTTTCCCTATTGACTTGTGTCTCCGGTCTGTGAGGTATCTTCAGTCCCATCCTCTCCACTCAAGAAGCACAAGTTTCATGTAAGATGCCTTCTTAGACTGTATTAATGGTTTCTACTTTTCTACCCTGTTCTCTTTTCTGGGGCAGAGGCTGGAGGGAGGCAGGATTTACTTCAACTCTTAAAGTTGGGGTGTAACTTCCATTGAGAGTTTCTCTTGCATGTTGTTGTCACCATTTTGGAAAGCCACTTGCAATGTTGGTTGAGAGTTATATGAGGGAGAGGGAGAGAGAGGGTTGTAGGAGATGACTCTGACAGCTGTGTTTATGATTGGTAGAGAAAGAAGGCTGAACATAGATGCTCCAGAAGAATTCACTTTCTTCCTGAAGCAAAAGCTATGGAGCCAGCATAGTTAAATGCCTAGTATCTTTCTATTTGAGATCCTGTGTAGCTATATTGTTATGATACAAGCTTTGAAGCCTTTCAAATTCCAATACTAAAAAGCTGTGTGACCTTGAGTAAAATTACTTACCTGTGCCTTACTTTTCTCATCTGTGAAAAAGAGTTAATCTCCTACCTTTTAGAGTTTTGTGAGAATTAAATGTTAATATAAAGATGTAGTGGCCTGGCTGGGCATGGTGGCTCACACCTGTAATCCCAGCACTTTGGGAGGCTGAGGCAGGCAGATCACGAGGTCAAAAGATCAAGTCCATCCTGGCCAACATGGTGAAACCCCATCTCTACTAAAAATACAAAAATTAGCTGGGTGTGGTGGTGCATGGCCTGTAGTCCCATCTACTCAGGAGGCTGAGGCAGGAGAATTGCTTGAACCCGGGAGGCGGAGGTTGCAGTGAGCCGAGATCACACCACTGCACTCCAGCCTGGCACCTGGCGATGGAGCGAGACTCTGTCTCAAAAAAAAAAAAAAAAAAAAAAGGAAAGAAAAAAGATGTAGTGACCTATAATGAACCGTCAATAAGTGTTAGCTACTCATGATTGAATAGAACTTCTTGGTTTCACCTTCCAGGAGAGCACTTCAACTCAATTTGGTATCAACATGCCAAATGTAGAAACTAACTCCTGTATCAAATAGTCTGATCTTAATCAGTGTAACTGAATGGCCTCATTGACTTTTATTTCCCCAGTGAACTTAAAATTGGACACTTAATGTGAAATATGGAACTTAGAAGAATTGAAGATTTGAGTTACATTAATAATTCATCCATCTATTCATCCAATGAGCATTAGTAGGTGATGTATTTTGTTCCAAACTCTGGACTAGGTCCTTGGGGCAAATAAAAATCAAACAGGCTGGGCGCCTTTAATCCCAACACTTTGGGAGGCCAAGGTGGGAGGGTTGCTTGAGCCCAGGAGTTCAAGACCAGCCTGGGCAATACAACGAAATCCCATCTTTACAAAAAATAGCTTGGCATGGGAGTGCATGCCTGTAGTCCCAGATACTTGGGAGGCTGAAGAAGGAGGATTATTGTGTCAATGAAGAGTCAAACTCTGTAAAATATTTGAAGAGATTTATTCTGAGCCAAATATGAGTGACCATGGCCCATGGCACAGCCCTCAGGAGGTCCTGAGAACATGTGGCTAAGGTGGTTGAAGTGCAGTTGTTTTTATACCTTTCAGGGAGGCATGAGACATCAGTCAGACACATTTAAGAAATACATTGATTTGGTTCAGAAAGGCAGGACAACTCAAAGTGAGGGGATCTTCCAGACTATAGGTAAATTCAAACATTTTCTGATTGACGGTTGAGTTTGTTTAAAGACCTGGGACCAATAAAGGGAATGTTTAGGTTAAAATAAAAGCTTGTGGACCAAGGTTCTTTCGAAGTCTTACAGTGGCTGCCCTTAGAGACAGTAGATGACAAATGTTTCCTATTCAGACCTTCAAAACAGTGCTAGACTCTTACTTAAACTCTTTAGGACTGGGAAGGCCTAGAAGAAAAAGACCTGACGATGTTAACAGAGATTCTTACAGATGCACATTCTCCCCCACGAAGGACAGCTTTGCAGGGCCATTTTGAGATATGGCAAAGAAACGTGTTTGGGGGTAAAATATTTTTACTTTCTTCCTTGTCTCATAATGTGATGACAGAGTTAGATTGGAAAGTAGGACAAAATATATAGGACTAAGTAAAACCCATCTGATGAGAATTTATAGTTTATAGGGCATGACTCCTAGACCCCTTAGATAGAATTTGGGCAAGATAAAAAAAAAAACAACAGGGCTTAGTCCTCAGTCACAAAAGTGAGTGATGAGTTTCAGTGATGGAGTTGCCAGAGCAAACACAGGAAACTCAGCTAAATTTGAATTTTAGATAAATAACGAGTAATTTTTTAGTATAAGTGTGTCCCAAATATCACGTGTACTTTTGGATGATCTGATGACTAGTGCCCTCTCCCTCTCTTCCTTAATCTCCGATGCCACTGCTGACATTGGTAGGACCAGCAATGCCAGCCGAACTTATTCAATTGGAGCCTCAGATAAGCTTTCTTCCTTGTAAGTCAAGAACGCCTTAAAGAAGTTCTCCAAACCCTAGGCCACATTTCTGTATGTGGCAGTTTTTGTCTATTTATAAAATCTGCTGGGCACTCTTCCCCTACACATAAAAATTTTAATCAGAGGTACTTCCAGTTAAAAAAAAAAGGCTTTCTAGAATAAAACTATTTCTAAGCTTTTCACCAATTCTCTATGGAAATTTATGGAAAATCTACATGGTCTACATGGAGGGGAACAGCAGGATTTATAAAACATCTTTTAGATCTACCCTGAATGTTTGCACGCATGTACACACACACACAATAGCATTCATCTCTTGGAAGAACAAGTGCCTGTTCACTTCTTAGGCAATGTGTGATTAACTGTAGCATCCCTTGCTGCCTTGAAGGTCTTGCACCTGAGTGTGTGTGCTCTTTGGGATCAAACTGAATCTTCCCAGACTGGGTGGTTTCCTGTCTGGGCTGAACTCACAAAACAAGGGAGCTGCCGGAGCTGAAAATAGCACTTGACCTGATGGCTCAAGCATGGACCAAAGCTGGAAAAGTTCTGTATTTGGGGGGAATAGAATACCCTAACATCAACAGAGTACTTAACGGACTCACAAATGATGGCATAAACCTAGAGAATAAGAGTTGGAATTTCTCTGTTTAGCTCCTTCTCTTATACCACAAAGGTTTCATGATTTAATTTATCTTGTGGTTCTTCTACCTCCCACACCCAACCTGGTCAGCACGAACTACCAGCTACCTTAGTGCTGTGACACTATTACTATAAAAAAATACTTGACAATTCTAAGAAGTGCAGTGCCTGCATGCAGTTGGTGTTCAATAAGTGTTTGTTGAATAAACTGCAAACTAAAGAGTCTACCTCTATTACTACTCTGTGTTCGTCAAAGTTATATATTATAAAAATAAGGAAGATAGGCTGGGTGCGGGAACTCACGCCTGTAATCCCAGCATTTTGGGAGGCTGAGGTGGGTGGATCACGAGGTCAAGAGATCAAGACCATCTTGGTCAACATGGTGAAACCCTATCTCGATTAAAATTACAAAAATTAGCTTGGCATGGTGGCGCTTGCCTGTAGTCCCAGCTACTCAGGAGGCTGAGGAAGGAGAATCACTTGAACTCAAAAGACGGAGGTTGCAGTGAGCCGAGATCACGCCACTGCACTCCAGCCTGGCAACAGAATGAGACTTCGTCTCAGAAAAAAAAAAAAAAAAAGGGGGGAAAATACCATTAAATGTCTTGAAACCAAGTGGGAAGAGTCTCACCTAACCCATGCTCTCCCAAGAGGAAGAGCTTATAACATATAAGAAATCTATTAGATTTATTCTGCTACTTTTCTAGGTGGCTTAAATAAAGGGAAGGTCTTTTTCCTTAACATGCATAAGTGGCCTTTATCTGTTCTAAAATAGTTTTCATGAAATGTCAGTGTCTCAATACTCTCCTCCAAATATCCATCCTAAGAATTAATTAGATTCAGCAAGGCTTTACTGCAATGTGGGGTAGAACCGTCTTGTGCATGTGTTATGAGTCCTAATTGATTGTCCCTTCTAAAGTGATTTGTGGTCTGGACAAGATATTCCATAAGTATATATATATATATATATATATATATATATATATATATATTTTCCTTCAATAAAATTTTCCACTGAGTAATGACTAGCCTTTTTATTTCAGCAGAGCCGCTGGTAACTGGCGAAGGAGCCAAAGCTCACAGCCTCGATTTTGCTGCTATGATCTTGAGCTGTTTCCATTTCCTTTTTAGAAACATCAGGCTACATGCTTTCTTGTGTCTATTGAAAAACTCCAGTTTGTCATTTCTTCTTTCACCACTTCTGGGTTATTTTTCCTTGGCTGCAGTTGAAACTTTTTCATACTAGACTACATTGGAGGTAATCACATAGACGCAGAGAGAACAATAGCTTATTTTCACAGAGTAAAGCGAGTGACAGGTTGTAATTTGGGAACTTTTGATGTCATAGAGGAAATGACTATGGACTATCAAGAAGCCTTTAAGTGTGCGTGCACTTCTGGCAATTCATCAATAGCTTAAAATTTTTTTTCTTGCTGTGCATACTTATTTACCTAGAGAATATCCAGATTCGAATGGACCAAGAGATAAGCTGAGCTTCGAAACTCTTGCCAGTATGATAAAGACAGGTAATAACAAATGTTGGCAAGGATGTGAAGATACCTAAAGGCTCCTACATGGCTGGGGGGAATGCAAAATGTTGTACCCATATTGGAATAATTCGGCAGTTTCTTAAAAGTAAACATAAGCTTACCATGACCCAATAATTCTACTTCTGGGTATTTACCAAAAAGAAATGAAAGCATATATCCATACAGACTTATTCGTAAATGTTCATAACAGCGTTATTCAAAATGGCCTCAAAATGTAAACAGTCCAAATGTCTATCAATTGGTAAATGGATAAACAAAATGTGGAGTATCCCATACAATGAAAAACCACTTGGCAATAAAAAGGAACAAAGTACTGATACATGCTGCAACATGGATGAACCTTAAAAATATTAAATGAAGGAAGTCATATGCAAAAAACATGTATAGAATTATAAATATTGTATCATTCTATTCATAAGAAATGTCAAGAAAAGGTCAGTGTATAAAAATGGATTATTTGTTGCCTCATTCCATGAGTAATTATTACTACTCTTTCTATAAACTTTGAGATACTCCTCTGTTGGAGTTTACAAGCCAACGGGATTCAATTAGTAGATGTCTAACTTAATGAGCTTTTTTTGAGTTCCATGTTTCTGAAAGCGTAGTGGGCCAACTCTCAATAATTTACTTTGCACACCTAGGGCTTGATGAGATTTGAAGACACCATGCTCATATACAATACCCCAAAGAAATTTCATGGTAATCTGACCAGATTTGGGGCTTTTCCTGATGGACAGATTGCTTGAGGGATGCGTGGTCTTTTGTCTATAGCTGGTGGATGTTCAACCTATCAGGAATGGTAACAGGCAGGTTTTTCTAGGAGCTGTTAGGCAACATCTATCTCAGCAGCTTCTGGCATTTGCTATAGAATTTTTCTTCAGAATAAATTTACTAAAAAGTTAGGTTCATTAGGACAAGCATACTTTAACAACGCGGGACCAATATCCCATTTATCTAGGAATTTGGGGAAAAGTAGTCAGTTTTCCTCTTGACTTCATTATTTCCATGTGAACCTGACCTATGGTTTTAATAGCATCGTCATGGTTATTGTATTTTATATGTCACACCTTATAAAATAGCTGGGAGGTGACATAGTGTGACATAAGGGGTTAAGTTTGTTTTATTGACATGCCTTCAGCATCACAGTGTCTTGTGGGTGTTTACTGTCTTCACTATGGAACCTCTGGATGAATGGTCTAAGTGTCCTCACTTCAGCAGGTGGGAGGCACTCAGAGGATCAGGAAACCCTGTCCACAGTCATGGTTCCTCACAGAAATGGTGTGTCCTGGGACCCATTTCCTTGCCATTGTGCTGTGAACTCTGCCTTTTGTTCTCCATCCATTCCAAGTACTCCTTGAAATAATCAGTGGGGTTTCCATGAAGTGGAGAAAGGTTTTGCAATACGATGCAAATTCATGGAGACATTCCCAAAGGCCAAAATTCAGCCTTGCCTTAAGGATGACGGTTATTTCATCTGCCCTTTCTTCTTAAATATGAAGATATTGAAGGCCAAAGATTACCCACTTATCAGTTACCCATTATCAGTCACCCAAGTCACCAAAACAATAGAAATACCTGTTAGAAACAGAGCTAGAATTAAAATTTTCTAGCCTAATCCAGTCTTCTTTTTTTCTGTAGACACTACGTCCTAGTCTTCAATGTTACTGCAGGGATTATTTTGTTTAATTTGAGAGCTTTGGGTCTTCTTGTTTTTCAGCATAAACTTCCAAATGATATGCTTTTTTAAAAAACAAAGACATTATTTCAGTGTCCTCAGTACTACTGAGGGGGTTGTATGTTTGTTTCAGTAACAGAAAACAGCGAGTCACAGTTTTGTTTGTAAATGCTAAGTGGCGTGTTTAATGGATGACCGAACTTCTACATATGAGATCTTTAACTAGTACTATAAAAAAGTCAACCATTTTCCAGAAAATTATGTATTCTCTGTGTTTCCAGGCTCACAGTATTCATATTGCAAATCACCTTACACAGGTTTTTAGAGTTCTTTCAATGAATGTTTTCTCAAGACAGAATCCTGTATTAGCTAAGGGCATTTCACACTTTGACTGAAATGCACAATTCAAGTGGTTTGGAAAGAACTTTAGGAATCCTACAGGTAAAGTACAGGCTGTCAAGGACACCATGTGCTCCCAAGTCAACAAGTACTGAAAGCAAAATAGACAGGTTCTAACTTTTCTTAGAATAATTAGTTATAACATTGTTCGGGTAGAAGTTTTCCCTAAGTTTTAACCATATTCTATCTACTATGACATAAGCCCATTGACATAAGATTTGCCCTCATTGAAAGCTGCAAGAGTGCTTAGTTATAATAAATGCTTAATTTATTCTCATTTGCAAAAAAGCAATTGAAGAAGCAAATAGTTTTTAACTGAGAATGGATCTTTAGGGGAGCAAACTTGGAGGGAAGGAAAATGGATAAAGAACTAAGTTGATAGGAACTGAAGAAGATTCTGTTGATCTGACAGGTGGTGCCAAGACCAAGAAATGAAGGTGTCAAGAGACTCTTCATCCTATACTGTGGTTTCCGTTAGACGGTGCTGGGAAACGTGGCTCATTCAACAGTTTTTGTGAGATAATTAGGTCTGAAACAGTGGTGGATTACTTGCAAGTCACAAAAATAGATGAGACCAAGTGCCTATCCTAAAGGAACTCACAGCTCCTTGAGCAAATTGTAAGAGCTTGAGGATAACTGCTGATTAGTAGCTGAATGGTGTTCCCCTGCAAATTCCTATGTTGAAGTGTTAACCTCCAGTATGTCAGAATGTGACTGCATTTGGAGGTAAGACCTTAAAGAGGTAAGTAAGTTAAAATGCGGTCTTGAGAGGAGGCCCTATTCCAATATGATTGGTGTCCTTATAAGAAGTGGAAATTTGGACCCAGGCACACACACAGGGATGGTGATGTGAAGATAGAAGGAGAAGATGACCATCTGCAAGCAAAAAAGACAGGCTTCAGGACAAACCAGCCCTGCCAGCAGCTTGATCTCAGAATCCCAGCCTTCATCATTGTGAGAAAATATATTTATGTTGTTTAAGCCCAGTGGTGTCTGTTATGGCAGCCTCAGCAGACTAATATGCCTCCAAATAACTACAGAGCAATGTAAATATAAGGGCCATATTAGAGGCAGTTAAGAGGAGGAGAAGATGATGTCCTTGTCTGAAAATGCGCGGTGGCTCAAGCCTGTAATCCCAGTACTTTGGGAGGCCGAGGCGGGTGGATCACGAGGTCAAGAGATCGAGACCATCCTGGTCAAAATGGTGAAACCCTGTCTCTACTAAAGATACAAAAAATTAGCTGGGCATGGTGGCGCGTGCCTGTAATCCCAGCTACTCAGGAGGCTGAGGCAGGAGAATTGCCTGAACCCAGGAGGCGGAGGTTTCGGTGAGCTGAGATCGTGCCATTGCACTCCCGCTTGGGTAAGAAGAGCGAAACTCCGTCTCTAAAAAAAAAAAAAAAGAAAATCCAGAAGGGCTGCCTAGAAGAAAAGGCATTTGAACTTGAAAGATAAATAGGATTGAAATAAGAACATTTGGGGAGTAGGTATTCTAAGCATAAGTAACAAGATTTTTTAAAGTTTACATAGTTCTGTAGGATATTTGGAACAATCCAGATTAGCTGGGATGTAGGTTTATGAAAGGAGGAAACCAAAGGGTGGCAAGAGGAAGATAGTGCCGAAAAGGTAATTTAGCCTACATTGCGATGGCCTTGGATTCTAAGCCAAGGAACACGGAGTTCATAAAATTATGTGCATTGGATGTCCTCAGGTTTATTTTTAATTAACTAGTTAACAAATATTTGTTAAGGTCTGCTTTGTGCCAGGCACTGGCCTTAATAAGCTTGGGGTACTTTAATAAACAAAGCAGTCAGACATCTCTGCTCTTGTGAAACAGAGACAGGTAATAGATCATCTACATAATAAGTGATGTGTTTATGATACCAATTAATGTATTATTTCAATTGCAATTATGTTAAACACAATATATTTTATAGTGTGTTGGAAGAAATCAGTTCTATGGAAAAATATGTAGCAGTGCATGGAGTATCAGGGATGCCAGAGTGGAGGGGGCTGGGTTGTAATTTCAGTAGAATAGTCAGAGGAGAAGATGTGGTTGAGATTGAGAAGATGGCATTTGAGCAGATCTTGAAGAAGGGGAGGAAACATGCTGTGATGCTGCCTGCAGAAGAATATTCCAGGCAGAAGGACCAGTCAGTGAGAAGATAAAAGCAATCTGCTGTATAATAGGACAAGGCATGCATGCAGGGGATTACACAGTAGCTGTCCACTGACAAAATCAGTGAATGCTGACACTTTTATCAGCATGATGACCATTTTTACGTGAATGCTAAGCTGCATTAATTTTGACTTCTG